AGGCCTTTTACAACGTAATTTTATTCACTTTGCCTTTGAAAATGTAGCTTTAGGCTAACCGAAATTGAACTGTACATAAACGATAAAAAGCAAAAACAATCATCTCATTTTCCTATTACTATTTCAGTGAACAATAGCCGTTGTCAATAGCCGTAGACGTGTATTTAATTACACTATATTATTCAAGCTGTTACAACTGGGCTGTAAGTATCCGGCAGGACCAGTATTTCCTAGCACCTAATAGGTCCAACTTCGCGCTGCGCTGTCCAAGCCTCGCGGCCTCCATTGTGCGTGTGTCTGATTAGATCCTATTACTTCCAAAACCGTTTAACGCATCACACAGCTTTGGGTTTTCAACGCAATCAGGCGTGTTCTTGTACTAGTCTATGGTAATAGACACACAACAAGGCCTATATTAGACCTGATGTATATTCCGCTTTCGCGATAGTACTCGTAGCGATTTCGGCTGTTCCCTCTGCCAAATGAAGTCCATGCCCACCTTTTCCTAGCAGGAGATTCGCGTATACGTTGGCGATAAAATAGAAAGAAACGTACGTGCCTCACGTCGCACCCGCATACGTGAGCCCCTGTATGCTAGCCTAAATTGCTCTTTTCGGAAAATACTTTTCCATCAGACGATGAACAACTCTCTATGCAGCTAGGTGACCTTGATAACAGGGAGAAAACACTAGGGTCTCGGGTGCCCGCGTAAATATAGGTCACAATATATTTGGGCCACCATGATTTAGAATGCCTTGCCTGAATAAGAGGCCGTCTATCTTCCAACTTCCTCGCAGTGTAGCAATCACTGTTTTTCACAGGCGGCTCGAGGTTAATGCATCACGAGCTCGGCATCGTTGTAGGGGTTCGAGGTGACCGAGCCGTCTTGAGGTCTAAGGCTGACTCTCGTCGTCAAATTGGATGGCGTCCACATATCGCAGAATTCGCACAGTTCGCTGGGACCGTTCCCCCCTGCAGATGCCAGAGTCCACCGGCATAAAGTCTCGAACCACTCCGACTAATTTAGAATGCGAAGCCACCCTCACCGCGTTGAGAAAATTAGCGAAAGATGATTACCTCGCTGTTGTCCAAAAATTCTGCCCAAGAAAACCCTACACCCGAGATTTATACGCAGTTCCTCTGGCAGGAACCGCCTGGCAGTCACGAACTCACTGAATTTCTTGCTCGCTGAATTGAGGAAGTTTCCCTGTAGCGACAGGAGGCTTTTCTTAGCGGCACATTGCTTTCTTTAAAAGAAAGAGTTTGTGCAGTTTTATCGTTTTACGTCTCTTCAACGCGAATCTTAAAGTCGAACGACATTCGCACGTTCGACTGCGCTCTTCACGGCTAGGTGTGCTAACGGTCTCACGTCCGCTGCCACTACAGCCTCCCAGCGATCTCGGCATCCTCGCGCTGCCTCCAATTGCCGTACGTACGTGTCCGTCTGAAGCTTTCACAGTTCGAATCTAATGATTTCGTACGGTACATAACCGCTTGATCCTGGTATGACGTACCCCTGATCTTTTTTGTCCATCAAGCCTCCTTCTGCCGACACCAGTTCTTTGCAATCGAACTTCTCTTCACTGCTTTGCTTGACCTGTTGACTACAATCTGATGCCGTTATTAGTGTTATCGGTTGCGACTAGGGTGGCCTGCCTCTAACGAAGGCCTGATCACTAACTGGCGTGCGCCCAGTAGCACAACTGAGCAGGAATCGGTTAAAGGGACAGCTAGTTGACCGGTCGGAAGGTCTCGTAGTTCTGACCTTCTACAGATCTAACCAGGCGTAGGCTTGATTGCTGGCATCGAGTTGCGAACGATTAGGACTTTGCTCGAAGACCAACAATAGCCAGCGGCTAGCGGCCGGAACTTTTATATTCTAGTAGTTATTTAATATATTCATCGCAGTAGCAAGTCATTGTTCAGCTTTCGTTCCACATGTGCGACAGTTGTTCTATAAAGATTTCTAGTCTTTACCAGAGCGGAGCAGTCTTAACTTGGGAGTGCATGGTCGGATCGTATAATAAAATCCCTATTCTTTGCTGTATTATGCCTGCCTAACACGCATGTTTCTGAGAATATTCATTGGCACAATACAAACCAAGTAAAATATCGAACGGGACTCTTCTTACCATAACAAAATATTATATAGTTTAAAAAGTTTCTGAATATTTTTTTTGTCTGTCGCTATATAATCAAATAAAATTATCTCGAGGATTTTGAAAAGGTAATCGCTCTTATATGACACCTAACGACATCCCGTTGTTGCTACTATTCACGGAGACACTGACTATAGCAGGACGAGAAATTCAGTGCTTAAGAATAAAGCTTCCGCGCACAAAAATATGAGTGAAATTTAATTTCATCAGACTATGCTAATGACGACCAGCAGCTAAAATTAAAATTAGAAGTTCCAACCCCCAATACTAGTCGGTAGGGTAGCTAATATCCGCTTCAGACAAAATTTCAAAACGCGTTTGGAAACCAATTGCTCCGCGTATCATTGTTTTTGTACTCATCGAGCCTTGCAGGTTACGACATCGCTGATCGAATAATCATAACGTTACAAATTATAAAACCTACATAAGGCCCCATTGTCGATTTTTAGGACCATTGTTTTCTTATCCAAAACGCAATTCTATCGGAACATCACGTCAGTAGCAACAATTGCTTTTTTCAGCAACTGCAAAAGCGTTGCCCACCCCTAGATTGGATAGTAAATTTTTTAAGCCCCCTGATGAGATTATCGTGCGAAACGTCAAATTCGCACCAGCTGGTTCTTCGATAATGAACATCGCTCCTGGTGGCCCTCGAACAGAGTATCGATGCTTACGTTATTATTCCGTAGTGAATTTCAGTAATGCTATGATACCAGTTTGACTGAGATTTCGTCGGAAGATTGCGGGCCTTGCTTAATAAAGCTTTCACTATTATTACACCTCGAGCTAATGACGCTTTGTTTTGTCCCGATAGATTCGGAAACCGCAACTAAAAAGATCCGAACGGTGGAAGAGAAAACAAATGACATGTGCCGCGGTCGATCCCTGCAGACTGAGAGGGCTAGCAGTGTCGCCCATCTCCTCCAGCATGTCCGGACCTCAAACACAAAGGCACAATTAAAAAGCGTTTAATAAAAGAAAATTGTACACTCCCCAACTGCTCCAGACATCTACCCAACACGTGCCACCTCGTACCATCGAAACTATTGCTGCCGATTTTTAGGTGGAACAAAAAACTGCCAAAACGGTTATCTGGGCCATAACATCTAAACGACACATGCAAAGATTATGTCAAATAGAAAGTGTGTGTTTTAAGCAAAGATACTGGTAAAATACAATGCGCGTAGCAGCTTGATCCCTAAACTGAGCACAACTGGAGCGTTGGGTTATGAATGAGTATGAAGCCAGCAAAAAAGCCACACGAATATTCTTGCAGCGAAGAATTTCTGTCTGCACCTTAGCATTCTCTGGCCCTGAATCGAATGGGGGGCCTCAAATTTGGCTCGGAGTCAGGAATGAAGAGGGTTTTAAAGATGAAGTAGACTTTTAGAGACCAAGAAATGATGTCGACACTTAGCAGACGACTTCGTTTATAGGTGAAGTGCCGTCGATATCAAGCAAGCATCTATTTTTAAATACTAACAGCTTCTAGCGTGAGTGCCACAGCATCGATCTTTTGTCACTGTCTGAAAGGATTACACATGCGTGAAAATAGAAATAGATTCGTTTAGGATGCGTGTCAACAGTAGATTACTTTCGACGGATGACGTCGATAGTATATACAATAGGATGGACTGAGGAAGCCGAGTTTCCTGACTAAAATGTATATGTTGAAAATAGCCGTTGTTAACTACCGTTTGGCAAAACTACCAATTATAAGCTTCTATTTGTTATTATATAAAAATATATTATATAAAATATTTGACCCTATAAAATAGGGTACTCTCAACAAGATAACAGACGGGATATTTCTGAAATACTGTGTAAGACTGCATTTCATGATCACTCTATTTCAGTTGTTTTTTGTTCCGTATTTCATGCGTTCAACTTAACTATACAATTTTAATTTCCAACAAGCCTACTTTACTTCATAAACCATTATTAGACTTATTTTCGCCCCGTATAGAAACGGCATACGTTCTCCTCGCCAAAATTGTCCGTTTTACGAGAAAACAGTATCTCCTTAAATTGCTATCTATGCGTGTACACAATTTCGTGTATTTGTTTGTAAATCTTTCTAACGGTAATCCCTGTCAGTAACAAAGACAACTAATAATTGCACAAAAAGCTTACACTGAGTCACCGATACTATTGTATCAGCGTGTAGTAAGTATAAATGAAAGTATAAATCATTAAAACTGTTGGTTTAATTTAATTTTACTATCAGTTAATTACATTTACTTACAGGCTTGGATCTAGTCGGTGTTTGACCCAATGCGACAACTATGTTTGGTTCATACGATAAAAAAAAATAAACGAAATATACTCGAATGAGTTAATTTTGTTTTTTTCTTTTGAAGGAAACAACTTTGTAAGCACTGTTGCGATTATGAAAAGCGTCTGTATGTTACGCGTTGGAATTGTTTGTTATTCTGTATGTTATTAAAGCTTGAGCGAAAGGAACAGGATGCTGTTCACCTTACTTTTTGATGAAGTGACCTTTTCTAGGGTGATTCTATAGCGCCGCTAGGTGCTCTTAGCTTGTCTAATCGACTGCGCATATAAAAACAAGCAACACATTGCTTTTTCTATCTTGTTACAATCTGCTATACTAATCTATTCGTTACCACGGGAGAATATTAACATTTGACTGATCATATTGGATTGTTTCAACTGACACAATAAAGAAATCTCGCGGCCATATATATGAATATGGTCCCCATTTATCTGTAGGCTTTCGTAAACGAATTCGCTTATCTTTAAGATCACATACGTATCAGTTATGGCTTCCGAATGCTATTCTAAATATCGCTCATCTATTCACAATCTAAGACAAGAGTATACCTTTTCTTCGTCAAACTCCTTATTATTCAGAATAACATAGTAAAGGTCTATGAATTAAACGATTACATGACGGACAAAATGGTGTCGCTGGCCGCATCTTATATACAGCTAGTATCAGTCCACTGACTCCGAGTTGCTGTTCAGGTGACATACCTAATCCGACATGTATATCAGGCACGCCAAACAAGCACCTTTTTGCGATCACTTTTCTTGTATGTGTACCTTTTTCCAACAAACCTTCGCTGATTTGTGTCGAATGTCGCTTCGTTACACTTTCTTTCTATTGAACTATGGCAACACAACGCGTAGCAATAATAAATCTCCTGTAAGTGTTATTGAATTCTAACTATACTTACATTTATGTAGCAAATAATATTTTCTACAAAAATAGAATGTAGACTATGTATTAGTGCATGCATATTTACGATCCACATAAACGTTCTGCACCGTTTAAATTCACATGGCATTGTCTTCAGTCATTTGATAACTATACTTAGTATTTCTAGACTTCGTATCGCTTTCCTTCATGTAAATTACGTTGTTTACTGAAAGAATATAGCAGTAAACTTGCTGGTTGCTCTGCAAAATGTACTTCAGTGATTCGGCTATAGCTTTAGGACAGCCTTCATTGGTACGCTGCCCTTAAATTAAGGCCTTTGCTAAAAGATGGTTGAAAAACGTCCTGTTACATCAACTTCTTTATGATATTCCAAGTGACAAGCAGTATAGAGATACAGGCCCACGTTATGACAAAGTGAATCCAATAAGGACACTGGAACGGACTTGCAAAGGTGTTCTTAACGCCGGGACCGAGCCGAGCATTAATCTCACGTCTTGCAAGATAAACAAGTGATGCCGGAATGACGTACTGGATCCCGGCACCAGCATATGCACCTGTGAACCATTGGATTTTACCAATACGTTAGTTTACTTGTGTTTAGTATACTTTTTTTAGTTACTTCGACAAATCACCGTTTCAGACAATAGATTTATGATCTAATATAGCCGTAAGTTAAGGTGAATTACAGGGATTATCCAAAACTAACCGCGAAGAACAATTATGCGAAGGAAAAGGGCCATGCCTTTGATTGAACCAATTCAAAAACGGGTATTAACGTCTTTTTTCGAAGCAATGCTTAAGTCTAGCTTTCGACAAAGGTAACTGCTTTAATTAAATAAGAAAAAAGCATTGCTTGAATTCTGCTTTGTTTTTTCCCTGTTTTGGAAAAACTCTATTTATACCGTAATATCGAATAATTTGAATTAGTTGCCCAACCAGTAACGCTAACGAGTAGATCCACATCTTGCACTAACAGTGCTATCAAACAGGGTGGAATCAACGCCATTATCGGAACGACCGCCTGTGGAGTAGAAATCGCACAATTGTCACAAAATGCGGCATTAAAACTTACTCCAATCTGATAACCCGCACCACTACAGTGCACCATTGGAATTTATTATTGTTCGTGACGTAGCGTCACTTTATATCGAATCTTTGTACTGTTCGTAAGTCGTTCCAGTAAGATCGGGGCAACAGGCGTCACGGCCCCCCTCATGAAGCATATTACATTGAACTGAATTTACGTACGAAAGATGTTTCTGAAAATAACAAACCTTTGCAAACCACCACGGGGAATCCTGATTAACAATGAGCGCTCGCAGGTTATTTGTCAATGTGATAGCGATAATCGGGAAATTTGAGGTGACCATAAGTATGGGAAACACGAGAAGAAAATATTGCAAATATGGTATTTCGGGGACAACGGAAGGTGTCATGCTTGGCTCGAAATTCAATGTGTACAAATCCTTCACCACCTCGAACGTGAAAACACCTGGCATCGAAAGGCAATTTTAACAGGAAACAGGAAAAATGATTAAGAAAAGCCCCAGGGGTAATTATATTTGAGTTAGACGCTGTTAATTGTGTTTATATGATATATAATAGATTCGTAATAAGAGGCCCCTACTTTAGCCCAGAAATATGACAACGACGTAGCAAAAAAAGAAGTCGCTTACAAGATAACATGTGACGACTATATAATGGCCAAAGTATGCTTCCCTGTCTAAGATTGGCCTAGTTAGCCAATGTGAGTTTAATAATGCGTTAGTGTTAATTGAAATTTCAACTTCTTCGTATTGTATTGAGAAATACAAGTATCTAAATCAGCTTATGCCGACGCAATTAAATAAGTTTATCGCAACTAAAAATATAGTTCAACCTGCGAACTTAATCTAAACCTACTTCAATAGGAGAATATTAAGGTAGACTTACACTTAACACTTACCCGTCATCGACAGAAGATTATAGAAAACTTGAACGAGTATGAAGTCGCACAGTATTAGTATAGACACTCCCTAACAAAGAGTAATAACACATACGGATAAAAAACGTCGATTGGGTTAACTGTGTTGCACGATAACGCGTTCGACGACACTGTTATAGTAAACAAAATTGCACCTAAGGTTTCCTCACCGTAAGCCATTGTTAAATCAGTTTATACAACTAGCCACACCTAAACTAAAAATTAATCCTACGTAACATGGCAATTTGTTATTGGGCCTCAAATTTAATAATGTAATAATAATGAAGATCAAATCACGACATTAAAGGTGACGATGTCTAAAACGTCGGATGTTGCAACCATCGAGAACAAGCCCAATTTTACCAATAATTAGTAAAAATATCACTTAGTAAGAATCATTTCATCTTTTACTTGAAGCACGGTACCGCAGACCAATCAGTACGACTACTTTCATCTTAAGGGCAGACTTCAACAGAGCTTTCCATATCGCTGATCAAAAACGCGTTAAGAAAGGCTCTTTGGAAAATGCCAAGTACTCCCAACAAAGTATGGATCAGCGGAGATCATTCGATGCCTTTGTGAAATATAGAAATCATTCAGTTGTCTTTCGAATGGAGGTACTGGTTTTTGTCAAGATTTTCCAATCACCTACTAATTAGATCACGTAACAGGTACGTTCACATAGGACAATACGATTTTGTTTGGACTAACAGGTGAGTAGCAAAACACCACTTCCTCATAAAATCAGTATATTACAAAACTAGAAAACACATCAGTTACTTCGCTTAACTCAACTGCTATCTGATCGGCTCGACGAACATGTACAAAGGTTAACATTAAACAAACCAAATCAGATAGATATGTTAAGATAATCTTCAAAACTTCTATAACCATGAATTAGATTAAAAAAAAAAGTATGTGAGTATGTAATTGTAAATTTACGAATGAAGGGCACATTAATCATTTTAGAGTCACCGCCTACAAAACAGACGGCCTTTATCATACCTTTTTTGGCTGAAGCGGAGTGATTAGGGAAGGTAACGAATGGTGGCACATGAACGAGTACACGCATGTTCCAAACAGTGCCGGCACTTCTGAGATGTCTCCCACCTTCGGATGACCTTTTGCATGGCCGTTAATAATAGCGATCATACACAAGACGATCATAATACCGAAAGCTGCAAATACGGAAAAGCTATATAGAATAAAAAATAAATTGCAATTTCCTAACGCTCTACTCTTCACTATAATAATTTTATAGTATTAAAGAGATAAGGTAGCTTGAAAAATAAAGCTGCCTGAAGTATTTTTTACAAATAATAATCATAGGGTTTAATTTTTTTATATGTACTTAATTATTATTGCACTGCGCCCGAGAGTTTGGTTTAATCAATAATAACTTATATAT